GACTGACAGGAAGTGCACACTTGGTGTGCTCTTCCTGTCATTCCGGCCAGGTCGCGGACCGGAAAGGAGCTCGGCCACGCTACAGGGCAGGGGAGGTGAGGCACTGCGGCAGCCACCTGAGCGCTCTCTATAGAGCGCTCAGGCGGCTGCAGAATTTAAAGGGCCGGCGATGGGGGCGCAGGGCGCCCCCTCCTATATGGCGCCCTAGGCGGCTGCCTAGTTCGCCTTATAGGAAGCGCCGGCCCTGGTCCCACATTAAGGATTCCAAATGTTTTTGAATGGTTTTACACTTGCCTCGGTTCCCTGTGTGTCCCAGCTTTTCATCAGGTTTTTTTTTTTGTGATAAACTAAAACAGAAGTTGCCATTCTACTTTTATATTAAAGTGAACCTGTCATGTATTTTAATGAAGCTGTTTTAGTGTATAGATCATGCCCTCTGCCAATTAGGAGTCACTTTTGTTTCTGGTTACCCAGCCACATCTCACTTGGCTGTGACTGACACAGCCTCCATGAAAAACCGGCTTCATTTTCAATCAGACATAACAGTGCAGTGTGTTTGCTTTAGAAGTTTGCATTTTCTTTGTTAATTTTACTTTATTTACACACATAAGACTAGCAGACCAGGAAAGAAGAAATTCTAAATTAAACAGACTGTGCGATATAGGAGCTTTAAAAATACATATCTCTTTACAGGAAGTGTGTAGGGAGACTGTGTAGGTCACGTGCAGTGTACGTGTGACAAGGACTGCATAAACAAAGTGATTAAACTCCTACCTGGCAGAGCATTTAACAGGGAGGATTGCATTTGCATGATCTACAAACCAAAACCACTTCATTAAAGGGACACTATAGTCACCAAAACAACTTTAGCTTAATGAAGCAGTGTTGGTATATAGATCATTTCCCTGCAGTTTCACTGCTCAGTTCCCTGCCATTTAGGAGTTAATCACTTTTGTTTCTGTTTATGCAGCCCTAGCCACTCCCCCCCTGGTTGTGATTGACACAGCCTGCATGAAGAAAAAAGTTAAAGTTTGTATCTCTACTTTGTAAATTGTACTTTAATCACACACAGGAGGCTTCTGCGTGATCTAGAAGGCTATTAGCAGAGCAGAAGATAAGAAATTCTAAATTAAAAGAATTTGCAATAAAGGAAGTGTAAACATTAAATGGCTCTTTGCAGGAAGTGTTTGGAAGACTGTGCAAGTCACATGCAGGGAGATTTAGCTCCTAAAGGGCAGAGAATTAAGCAGCGAGACTGCAGGGGCATGATCTATACACCAAAACTGCTTCATTAAGATAACATTGATTTGGCGACTATAGTGTCCCTTTAAGTTTTTCTTAAAATAAAAACTTAACCTTAAAAAAGGTTATTATTGAGAGCTTGTAGTTATTATGGCATGATTTAAGTTAATCTTTTCTAGAGCTGATTTTAGAAATAAAAATAAAAGTACTACTATACTGTAGCTATATACATACATACAGGCTAAAAATGTACAATAATTGATGTACTACAAATGCAAGTGGATTGGCAAAGTAGACTGTAGACATAGGATGATTAACAGGCATACCTTCCAATGAAAATAGAACATGTGCGAGCATTGTCAAAAATGACTGATGAAGTGATACATTTATGTGAGGTACTACAATAAAAATTAGTTCTCTCTCCACTGAGCGATGCCATATTATGTTATCGTTGCACGTATCCTGCAAATCCCCAATGTTTTGGCCTACTCCAGCATGCGAGGATGAAGTAAGAGGGGGGAACTGAACATAGTCAACGTTTGGCATGAATTTCTGTGGAAGTATGCTTTTTAATTTACAAATGATTTCTTTGCAGAAAAAAATGTTTGAACTTAAATCTTAAATCTGAATTGACAAACTTTGTATGCAGTTCGATGCATGATAGATCCCTGATTTCCTGTACTTTCCATGGAATTCAGACAAACGAGGACCACCTTTAAATTTGCATCTGAATTGAATTTAGTAACTAGAAGAAAACCGTATTCTCTATTGGAATGGTTGAGCTAATAAAATGAATTACATATGTGCTCAGCAATGCACAGTACATTTTATCAGACACATGTGCAGCCCCAGTTTACATATACACCATATAATGATATGAGCAAAAAAAAAAAAAGGGAAGATAATTGTAGTTTTTGTGGGTTATGTTTTCCCAGATAAACCACTTTTTGTTTTGGATTTATTCCTAGTTTCACCCTCATTTCTGCTGAATGGAGAAGTACTCTGATTATACACCTTTTCCAGTTCAGGTTAGCAAAAGGAACCTTCTAGTGTGCAATCAACTGTGAAATACAAATCCCACAAAGTTCAGCATATTGAAATGTTTGTTGAACATCAATTGATTGGTACTCCATCACAGCTGGCTTACCAGGAGATACTTCTCCATTTTTTTCATAATGCTATGATTTCCTAAAGAGGCCTTAGAAACATATTTTATAGGGATTAGTGGTGAGATTGGCTTCGTTTCCGCACGCGAGCTGTGACTGTTTTGCCAGCAGATGCGCTTAGACTTTTTTTGTCCTAGGACCTAGAGCATTACAGAAATGAGGCTGTGTTTACTAAATTTCATTGTTTTCCCTTTGAATGCTCTGTTGTGTCCTGCAATAGAAAACTATAAAAACAACAAATTATTAAAATGTTAAGGTGAACAAAAAGGAGATGAAGAAGGCCCAGCTCAAATGGTATTACAATTTACTTCAAGCAAATAACAGGTTCTATGAAAGCTTCATTTAGAATTTTGTAGGTTTCATTTTAGAATTTTGTAGTTTGAACCATATTTTAGGTCTTTTTCTCAATACAATCTCCATTGTATTGAGAAAAAGACCTAAAATATGGTTCAAACTACAAAATTCTAAAATGAGAGGCATTTTTTTTCCCACCATCGGGAAATGGTGTTCTGTAGAAGAAGTAAGATTTTCTCTTATGTAGCAATTTTTGCATTTTATTTTTTAATCCTAAAATTTCAATCTGCGCAGTGTTCATACTAGGAAGATAACTTTTACAATCATTTTAGAACTGAACCAGTCAGAGCAGAGGTAGAGGACGGTCCGGAGGTTGGTGTTAGACGAAGAGTAGCACACTGAGCGTCACTGGAACTGAGGAAAGGTTTTTCGGAGGAAACATTTTTTTTCACTACAGGTTCACTTTAATATTTATGACAAATTTTTCTCGTTTTTGTCTATTCAGTGTCCTTCTTTAGAAAACATGAGCTCCTAATTAAATACTATGCAAATTAATATTATTAATTGATAAATAATCCTTTGTTGTTAGAAAAGCAGTGATAACGTGTTTTGCAGTAGCCCATTCTTTGTTTTGTATATCTTGAACAACATGTATGCTTGATGTAAATCTGTTTTGAACAAGCACAACAGTATATAGTCTGCTAAACCCTAGAGTATTAATTTGACCATAAATGCAACTATATTGTCTCTTTAAAAGTACGTATGAAATGAGCTGTAGATCAGTTAATTAGACAAAGGCTTAAAGCATCTCTCTCATCCCAAGCATATCATTCTTCAATCGTTTCCTCTTCTCTTCCTCTCTCTGATTGCATTCTTTTCTTCATTTCTGATCTTTTTCTTTTAAAATGTGTAAGACAAAATAGTGACTACTTTGTCTTATGTATTTTTTTCTCCCCTTGACAAAACTTAAAGCGGCACTGTCATGCCGAACTTACCTTTCTTAAATCGATTCTTCTTCTCTTCCTCTATCAGGATCTGTTCTTCATTTCTTTCAGCCAACTTTACCAATACTAAGTAAAGATTAGTTAGTATTCATAATTAATCTGCCTGTACACGCTATATCGAGAGTAGGGGCATATCTAGTAAACAGTTTGCTCACTGTTGTAAAAAATAAAGCAGCACCCCAATAAATGGCCCCATGGTGGGGCATCTCTTAACTAGCACGATTGGGGGCTATTCAACTAAACAGCGGACATAGGGTCCCCCTTGGCCCTAAATGAAAAAGGGGGGGGACTTATTGTCCTCCCACTGGTTCCCACCCATGAGTGGCGGGTGGGACAATGGGGGGACCTATTGTCCACTCCGTGACCCCCACCCATTAGCGGGAGGTGGGGGCCCTATATGAAAATGGGGGGGACCTATTTTCCTCCCTCTGGCCCTCATTCATAAGCTGCGGGTGGGGTCCCTAAAAGACAATGGGGGAGACCTATTGTCCTCCCCCCGGCCCGTACCCATGGGTGACTAGTGGTCCCCAAGCCCCTAGTCACCCCCCCCATCCAAAAAAAAGCCCTGCCTACCCCCCTCACACTAAAAAGAGTGAGGGGGAGACAATAAAACCAAATACCTGTAAATTAATTTAAAAAATACTTACCATTTGATGTCTTCTTTCTAAAACCTTCTTTTTTCAGACCCCAAAAAGGCCAAATAAAAAGCCATAATACCTGTCGAACTTCAAAAATAAATTAAAAACCTGAGTGCACAAATAATCCGCAGGAAAAAAAAACATCCTGATGCCAAACAAATAATGCATCTTCACCCAACGAAGGCACCACGCAGACTGAGCTCCGCAGAGTGGAAAAAGGCTTATAAAGCCTTCCCATGCCCTGCAATTTGACTCAGAACGCTCTGATTGATTGGTTTAAGCCAACCAATAAGAGTGCTCTGACAGGTTAATTTGAGCCTTGCCTGATTGATAACTTGCAAGGCTCACTATTTACCTATCAGAGCATTCTGAGTCAAATTTCAGGGTGTTGGAAGGCTTTATTAGCCTTTCCTTGCCCTGCGAAGCTCAGTCTGTGTGGTGCCCTCGCTGGGTCAAGATGGATTTGTTTTTTTGGCGTCAGGTTTTTAATTTATTTTTAAAGTTGGATGGGTATTATGGATTTTTATTTGGCTTTTTTGGGGGCTGAAAAGAGAAGGTTTAAGAAAAAAAGACTTCAAATTGTAAAATTTAAAAAAAAAAATGTATTTACAGATATTTAGTTTTATTGTCTCCCCCCTCACTATTTTTATGGTGAAGGGGGTAGTTAGGGCTTTATTTACATTTTCTTTGGGTGGGGGCTTGGGGACTTATAGTCTCCTCTGGGGGGGGGGCATTTGTCTCTTTGTCTATTGTCTTTTAGAGCCTCTACCAGCCGCTCATGGGTGGGAGCCGGGGGGAATAGGTCACCCCCCATTTTCTTTTAGAGCCTCCACCTGCCGCTCATGGGTGGGAGCCGGGGGGGTGGTGGGAATAGGTCACCCCCCATTTTCTTTTAGAGCCTCCACCTGACGCTCATGGGTGGGGACCGGGGGGGGTCAAATGTCTTTCCCCCCCCCCCCATTGTCTTTTAGGGGTCCCTACCAGTCATGGGTGGGAGCCGGGGGGGGGTGGGTGGGATTAGGTCACCCACCATTTTCTTTTAGAGCCCCCACCCGCCGCTCATGGGTGGGGGCCGGGGGGGACCCTATGTCCCCCGTTTAGTTGCATAGCCCCCATAGAGTGAGGGAGAACATGGGGGGCCTATGAAGTGGCAGGGAGCACCGCTTCCTGCTGCTTCTATTTTTACATATTACAAGGAGGGAGATGGTAGCTCCCTCCTTGTAATAAACTGAACAAACGAACACCGATAGTGTTTGTTCGTCTGAAATTTCAATTCATTCCTTCGTCTTTCTGACATATGAATATACGAAATTCCCGTCCGAATTTCGGACTATAGCGAATGCTCAAGTGTTTAACTGGGCATGCGTGCAAATTTCACTGCGCTCTCGAGTGTGGGAAGATGACGTGTCCCACAAGGACTTCATCTGCCCACACAAAGATGGTGGCATTCAGGACCTAGATCCGGGCACAAAATGAAGATTAAAAAATGGTAATATGGGGGGCTTAGGGGCATTTGGGGGTCACTAGGGGGGCAATTAGATTTACTGGAGTCGGGAAGGGGGGTTAAAAAAAAACAAAAAACTGGATTCGGCCATGACAGTGCCGCTTTAATGGGACACTGTAGGCACCCAGACCACTTCAGCTCATTGAGGTGGTTTAGGTGCTGTGTCTCTTTTGCACTTAGTGCTATAATGTTAAACATGTTTACATTGCAGCTCTAAGTCTGCC